GAAGTATCAAATCAAAAACAATACATAAAAAATACATTAAAAGCAAAATATTTCATCCACATTTTAAAAAGAAAATTATTCTAAAATATATGTATTCTGTATTTGACAAACAGTTCATTCGACAAATGAAAACTCACAGGAATATGTTTCAGCTATTAGAACAGAATGATAGTTTTTATAATACTAGTTTAAAAAACGCACTTTAAAGATTGCAGTGTTTGAAGATGTAGATTCTCAAGAGGCAACAGTACTTTTGACTTCTCCCTCCACTGGACACCAACTAACTATTTAAGTTGATTTGCATACAAAGCAGAGCTTGCAACATGATAGCTATTCATAAAGGGTGTTTTTTTTTTTACTTTTCATATAATACAGTAAATCATTAATTTTTGACAGACACCTGTACAAAATACTTGGACTAAAGTCAGCTAAAATTTTCTGTTATCTTGCATGTTTTATGAATCTATTCATATCTAAATGCAGCACTTTTTTTTTGCAATGAGACATTTGTTTTTATACTAAAATAACTAAATTACTTTGAATAAAGCTGGAAATTATGTCCCTTAAAATAATTAAACAAATAAGGCACCAATGTTTTTGTAAGATATTTACATCTTTTAAGGACATTCGGTAGACTGATTCCCCACTGTTGGTTCAACCCCAAAACTTGTTTGTATTCAAAATTAATTATGACACTGCATATTCATATTGAAATAAACTATGATAAAGGGAATTATATTATATAACAAAGGGCAAGGTCACCAGAGTTCAACTATGTTTGTAAATGTTGTGCATACTCTTACACTATATGGTAACATAAGTGCAAAGTAAACAACACACCTGGTGACCAGTTATTGACTGATTCCATTAACATGTAGCTGTTATTTTGATAACATTTTTTTACACCTGAGAATGATTGACAGACACAGCATTATAAGCAAGTTTTCTCAGTCTCTCACTGCAAGTATTTTGTCTGGTACCCAGTAGCACAGTGGCAAAAGACTGGAACTATTTCTATTGCCACCATTATGTTTTTTTGCATGATTTAACCCACAACAATAACTTTTGACCTTTATATTCAGTCTGTTATTAACCATACATTCTAGATCAATCCAGATTCACTGTAAATGTAAAAATGTTTGTAGATGTTCTGAATCAATTCGTGATCACTATTATCTTGAACATTGAAAACTAGGATTTAGAGAGATGTTCACTTTATACAACAAACATGACACTCAGAATGACATGAAATAAGGGCATGGGTTAACCTGGCAAGTATATCTATATAGCTGGTTTTGTTTATATAGCCAGTATTAAGAAAAGCCAAGGTGGATTACAAATGAGCAGATTAGTCTAATTCTTCTTATATTTAAATATTCAATCTGAATGCAGATGGGAAAATTAAGTTATGTCTGTAAGAATGCTGATTAGTTCTCTTTTTCTGATATCAATGTCCGAATATTACTGTAATTCAATGTCATTTCTCAATCATACCTCGCAATACAAAATAATGGTATTATATCATATCACATGACTGTGACATAACTATTATCTTTGAAATCTTTTTTTTTAATAAATTTTTTTATTTCAATATTTCAACTGATTAGTTAACTGATTTCCAGTGTAAAAATAATTAGTGAGTTTAATTTAACAAATTTCACTTGTCATGAAAATAGCCAAATTAAAACTCAGTGATAATTAATACATTCACAGTGTCTGACCTTGAGAAGGTCAAATTGTTTAAGATATTACCCAATTATTTTGTTTCTTGCAAGTATGTGTGTTGACTTCCTGTCTGATCACGCGTATATACATCAATTCTTTATGACGTCACAATTTTGTTTTGGGATGACAAGCATAACAGGAACATCTTCAGTTATCGTTATCTATTCTGTTTTTTTTCTTGACTTTTAATGAGAGGTATTTCGGTTGTACATCAAAGAAAATCACTGAAGTGCGACAAAAGAATAACCCTGACTTTTTATCCTCAGCAACATAATGTCAGTGTAATAAAAAGCTTTTCTGTGTGAGTGATTTCAGACATTAATTTAACTAAGCATCATGGGAAAGGTCATAGCCTTGACCTCATGAGGTCATAAAAAATTAACTCCAAGAAATAAACCTGTCTGGGAGTCTTACTCAGTGATGCATTTTGTAACTGATAATACATTTATTATTATTCACAAATAATTCTTTCACTGACCTGAACGGTATTTGTTCTCACTTGTATGTTTCTTTCAATGCTGTATTATGGCTCCCTGGATTCTGAAAAATTCATCATCACTTAAAATTTAATAAAATTGTTTTTAATTGTAACATCACTTTTTACACCTGATGTTAAATTTGATATTCCAAAACAAGTTTTCTTTCACAAAAGATAAAAAAAAAAATCTAAATGTTATATTCTTAGCTTTATGAAATTTGTATTACATTTGTTTTTTATTATACAAATAGTGTTTCATGTGTGATTTTTTGATTTGTTTACTTGTAGATACCACGGCAACCAGGGTACAATCCTCAATATTCTGTTCCAAATCAGCAAGGTCCAATGCCAGGGAACTTTAAGCAAGGTTTTTATACTGGACCACAAATGAATCAAAGGCCACAATGTCCACAGCAATATCCCATGAAAAGGCCAAACCCCTCACAACAAAATTATCCACAACAGGTAAGTATTATTTACTGTTTCAAATTCATTAAAACCTGAAAATGAATGTATAATGATGAGTTTTCACCAAATAATATTTTTATTTTATAATAAAGGGTTTTCTTCCTTGTTAATGATTTATTTATATGTGGTCTTCATTTTTTTGTGTGAAATAAAACTACAAATGTTGTAAAAGAACCATTACATGTTTTGTTTTTCAGTATGGTCCAAATAGGCAGTACTTACCACAGCAACTGCCTCCAGGGGCGGCCATGCCAAATTCATATCAAAAAACACCCCAACCAGGCTACCCAAATCAACAGCCGATGCCCTCACCCAATTACCCTGGACAGAGGACACTTACAACACCAGGGAATTATGGGAATCAACCAAACCAGTACTATGGCCCAGGTAACTACAATGGTGGACAACCAATGGCGCCAGCATATCAACAACAACAACAGCAGCAACAACAGCAACAACAAATGAATTACAATCCAGTAAGTAACCTATCTTACCTCTTAGTTAAATGGTTTCTCCCACAAAGCTTGTTTACATATGTCTTGTAAATGGGTACTGTATTTGTTTTGCTGCTCACCAAATTTGGAAATATACATCAAATTTTGTTTTTTAACTAGAATTCCTCACTAAGATAATCATTGTTTCACAAAGATGTTCAACTGAACAAACTAAAAGTAAATATAATAATATATTCAGAGATTCTAGAACACATGATCAGATTTGTTACTGGTCTATTACATAAGAAAATATGAACTAATTTATTCCTTGATTTATTTTCCAGGGAGCAAGGGGTATGGGTTACCAGCCCTCGCCTGGCATGCAGAACAATCCAACTCCTCCTATGGGGCCTGGAGCACAGAATATCCCTCCAGCATATCTTTCGTCTCCAGGAGCGCCTCCTAGTGATAAGTTTGGTCCTGATATCAAGCCTCCTGTAATGCCACCACGTATGTAAAAAACTTCATTTGTTATTTATTGCACATCAGCTAAATGTGTCCTTTTTTTATTTTCAAAACTGTGTTCAAGTTAAGCTCATTCTTTGTGCTACCAGCGATAGTCTTTTTTAAACAGTGCTCTCATGCAGCCAGTTTTATGAGTGTTAGCTGGCTTGTTTATTATTTCATGGGAACGCTCGCTACTATTGAATAGAGCCTTCAAGGACGGCGTTTAGTCTCATATACTCATTCCTGCCAATATTATCCAGGAACATTCTTAGTAGCAAGAATGTGGCAAGTTTTTTTATATTTTTGTATATAATAAGTCTGTCTACTGAATATCATGTTTATGATAATCAATTTTTTTTTATATTCAATTTTAGCCGTTAATGATGAGATGCGTTTAACGTTCCCAGTACGTGATGGTGTAGTGCTGGTGCCATTCCGATTAGAACACAATTTGGCTGTTAGTAATCATGTCTTCCACCTTCGACAATCAGTGCATCAGACGTTAATGTGGAGGTAAGAATTACCAAACACTGGTGTTTACACCTAACAGCCAGGGAAATTATTTTGGTACTTGGCGTATGCCTACTTCATGCCTACTTATTTCGACAATTTCTTTCTCAGGTCTGATCTTGAACTACAGTTTAAGTGTTACCATCATGAAGATCGACAGATGCATACTAACTGGCCAGCGTCTGTGGCGGTTAGCGTCAATGCCACACCATTACACATTGAAAGAGGAGAGAATAAAACGTCTCATAAACCACTCTACTTAAAAGAAGTTTGTCAACCGGGGCGGAATACGATCCAGATAACAGTCTCTGCGTGTTGTTGTGTAAGTACAAATTCAACTCATCAATTCTTTGTATGTCTTATTTGAAAACATGAGTATAGCTACAGAAATCTATTCAATCAAATCATTCAACTAATTTTGTTGTTTTTTTCAGTCTCATTTATTTGTGCTTCAGTTGGTACACAGACCAACGGTTAGGTCAGTACTGCAAGGGCTACTTAGAAAGAGACTATTGCCCGCCGAACACTGCATTACGAAAAGTAAGTAAATGACGTTACGTCGTAATATGCAACATTAGCATTCTGTGGTCTCTAATTGCAAGCATTGTTTAAATTTACTGAATGTCCTGACATTGTTATTTTTCTAGTAAAGCGCAATTTCACAAGTGTGGCGGCATCCAGTGGTGGTTCGTTGAACGGCGAGGATGGTGTTGAACAAACTGCGATAAAAGTCTCTTTAAAAGATCCAATCACATTCAGGAGGATAACACTGCCCTCTAGAGGCCATGATTGTAAACATATCCAATGCTTTGATCTAGAGTCTTACTTACAACTCAACTGTGAAAGAGGTTCATGGAGATGTCCTGTTTGCAAGTAAGTCATGTGATGTGAACTGACCAATCCATGCTTGTTTGCCTCTTCAACCATTTTAGAATGTATATCATGTGATGTGAACTGACCAATCAATGCCTGTATGCCTCTTCAACCATTTTAGAATGTATATCATGTGACGTGAACTGACCAATCAATGCTTGTATGCATCTTCAACCATTTTAGAATGTATATCATGTGATGTGAACTGACCAATCAGTGTTAATCATGTGTTGCCAATTTGCTAATTATGTTTTCTGTTTTTGTTAACAGTAAAACTGCATTGTTAGAAGGATTAGAAGTTGACCAGTTTATGTGGGGTATATTGACTGCTGTGCAATCAGCCGATTTTGAGGAAGTGACAATAGATGCATCAGCGAGTTGGAAACCTGTGCCGGTGAAACCAGATATGAACATAAAAGAGGAAGACCCAGGTAGGCATAAAACCAGTAGTAGAAATCTTATTGGTGAGAGTACTAATGCTTGGTAGGAAATGACATGTAGTTTGGTACCAACTAGAATATTGCAGTAAATATTGATTTGAATCAGATAGGCCTGTTTATAAATGAGATGGTACTAATATTATATTATTGTTTTATATTTATAATTTTATGAAATAAATTGATGGTTTTTTTTTTTCAGATCTTACATGCCAGTCAGCCAAGCGGTTTAAACCAAATATGTCACCGGGAAATATGAATATGGCTAATCTTCACAATTTTGATCCTATGGTTCCGTCACCGTTCTCATCAGTACCCCCTGGAGCACCAGAATATGCAGGTACACTTCTACTTTAAGGCTAATCTATTCATTGTTAGTACTCCTTTAGTTTCTGCAAAACCTAATGTTGCATCTCACTCCCATTATCTTAGGTGAAAGCTGGGGTCAAAGGTTATGTAATGAATCTAATTTGCTACGATTTGGGAAATTGAGTTACGTGAATTATGTGAATTACACCTTTTGTATTTATGTAAATATTAAAACATGATCTTATGCTGTGCCATTTGTTATCAACACTTGTAGATAAGGTTAATTCAGTTTATAAAAATATTAAAACATGATCTTATGCTGTGCCATTTGTTATCAACACTTGTAGATAAGGTTAATGCAGTTTATGTAAATATTAAAACATGATCTTATGCTGTGCCATTTGTTATCAACACTTGTAGATAAGGTTAATTCAGTTTATAAAACAATTTTAATTGCATATCAATCTAGATCCACTCAACTATTTCTGGTCCTTAGTAATTTTTTGTTTTGTGTTTTTTTTATATTTTTCTTTCATGTACAGGTGGTGGAAATTACGATTTTAATTTTCCCAATATAGGTCCAGGCTCCGTTCCCACGCCAGGACCTGGGGGGCAGTCGTTACGAGGAGGCCCCAGTCCGGCTGGTTCACAATACGGAAATGCATATGAGCAGTTCCACAGTCCAGGGCATCCGTCACAAGGGCCTCCCATGCCTCCAAGTAATTATGTAGGTCCGCAAGCACCAAATACATTCAGCAATATGCCTGGAAGGCAGACGTTGTCACACTTTGATGATGGGATAGCGAGTAGTGACCTGGTATCAGTGGAAAAACAAATTAACCCAAGTATACCACAGCAGGTAAGATCACATCATTTAATTGTAACAGGCTGAACCATTTCAGTTTAAGGTGGCTAGACTGAATACTAGTAAGAAAACACCTATACACCCTTAAGACATAATGGTACATCCTGCTTAAATTTCACCAGTCCATTCCTCAGAAATGATAGTATATCTCTAATGGTAAAATGGTATATCCCCGCATGATATTAAAACTTATCCACCTATCCGTGTAAGAGAATATTCTTTAATGATGTATCATTCATTTTATTTTAAATTTTTCAGATGAGGCGATCAAGGATTAACCAAGGAATAACGACACAACCACTTCGGCACCCTCCTGATATGCCAACGCCATCACCTCAGCAACCACTCACACCACAGCAACCAACCCCACAACCACCACCGCAGCAACAACAGCAGCAGCAGCAGCAGCAGCAGCAACAACAACAACAACAGCAGCAGCAGCAGCAACAGCAATCAAATAATGGACCAAGAACGCCGCAGACTCCACTCATGCAGAACCCCCACACACCCCAACCAGTAAATCAACAACCAACAACAGTGTCACAACAACCACACACACCACATCCACAGCCTCATACGCCTCACACTCCTCAACCACAGCAGTCAGCGCCACCATCCTCACAAAGTCAACAACAGCAACCCCAAGGAAATCAGGGGCTGAATCAAGGAAATAACCAAACTGGAAACAACAACACAAACAACAATAGTAGTACGTCAAGTAATGTCTGTCCTCCAGCAAATACACCAACAACAAACAGTGCAACAAACGATCTTGGATTCGATCCTGGTATTGTTATTGACCAGAGTGAAGGCCATGAAGACTTAGATGTAAGTATCATTTTGTAATTTTCACATGTGTCTCACCAAGGTCAACACATGATTCACAAGGTCAACACATGATTCACAAGGTCAACACATGATTCACAAGGTCAACACATGATTCACAAGGTCAACACATGATTCACAAGGTCAACACATAACTGTCAATACATGGGTGATAGGTTGGTATATAGTTGAAATTGTCCACATATTCTTGTAACCCAATAATGAAAAGTTCTTTTTTGTTGTTTCAGCTGCTTCCAGAAAATGTGGTTGACCCAAATGAATTATTATCTTATCTGGGACCTCCTGATTTACCAAATAACGGTGACACAAGTGAAGACTTGCTATCTCTCTTTGATGCATAGTCACATTGGTACATTTTGCACACAAAAGATTAGTTGTTGCTGTCGCCATGGAGACACTTAACTATGGACAATTTTCCACAGCAGTGTACATGCTTCTACCATGTAAAGAGCAAAGCTTGCCAGCCCTGGACAAGAATTTGACTTTTTTGTGCTCACCGACCAGTGCAGATGTAGTAGATGCTTATGGTGCTTGTTTGTTTCCACCACTGAAGTAGTTTTTGTATTTGTTCCATACCTTGCTTTAAATATACGGATGTGACTGCTCATTGTCAGCAAAACAAATATGCGTGTAGTTTAAAATTGCCATAAATGGACAATTTGCTTCAGCTTGTTACTACAGCAACTTTAAGAAGAAGCTGCCATTTTGTGTCATTTTAGTGTAAATGTGAAATACGAGACTGAAGCTCCTGTCAACACTGACATATCAAGGGGGAATTATGATTGGCTAATGTTGTAGTTGCCGAACTGCCGAAAACTTTGAAAACCAGCTGCAACCCAGAATGCACTGCTCACAGTTGCTATGGATCATGTACAAATAAACAGGTTGCAAAGAATTAATTACGGCAAGGCAGTATGCGGTACCTCCAATGGAGGATGAAAATACAACAGTATTTTGTACATAAACATGAGAAAAAACATGACAATATTGATGTCATGCATAGGAAAACTACAGAAAATCAAAACTTCTAGAGTTTGAAAGAAAAAAATAAAGAAAGAGAAAGTCTATGTTTCAAACAGAGATTTTATCATGTGACAGACATTGACTGTTTACAGGTTGTTATTTATATAACTTTCAAAGTTTGACGAATCAGAGAAAATGGTACACGTGTACCAAACTATATAAAATGTATGTGCATTCGCTGTATATTGCCATATCAAATATTTATATCTACGTAGCTCACAAAAGAGAAAAAAAAGTTAAAAAAAACTTTTATTTGCTGACAATAGTTTGCATTATCAGTTTGTTTAGTTTTCCTCTTTTATATCCTCATCTCTTTCTACTTCCCAATTTTATTTTTTTTTTGTGGTTTTCCACTTTTTAAAAACAGTTTGTTCGCAAACTTTGCTGCATGCAGAGTGGCTCCTGCCCATCATTCCTTCACATGCTCCGCACCCCTGTGTTGAAAAATAGAATAACCTGGCTGTTACAATCATGTTAGGAGGGTCAGCTCATCGTGCGTGAGTTATTAACTCTGAAACATGCAACATTTTTTAACCTGACCAAATTTGCTTGTGTGGAAGACACAAAATATGAATATTTTTTATTTATCAATGCTGATAAAATGAATAGAATGAAGTAACAAAGAATGGAAGAGATAAACTGCAAACTATTTATCAGTGTATGCTTAAAAATGGCTGACTTTTGGCTACAGAGTGTATTTTAACTCGGAGATGAAGTGTAGCTGTGTTTTGTATATATTTATATTTCCTGATTGTGTGGGTCAAAAAAGTAGTTTTTACTATAAATAGCCGAATAGAAACCACTTGTAGTCCAAAAAAATTGCACCTAGTCTTGACTGGGAAAACAACTTTTTGTTCCCTAGTGAATGACTAAAATGACCACCATAATTTGCTCTTGGTTGATTGTATTCCATTTTGTAGAAAAAAAAAGAATCAACAAATTTACTACCCTAAATTGTAAAACCTTTCCGGCTTGTAGTGCAGATGAGTAAATATGTAAATTGCCATGACAACAGGTAACCTTTCAACTATTGTGTCACCATGACGATATTATTGTTACTGATCAGGTGTCAAGACTGCAGCATTATAAGAAGTTTCCAGCATTCCAATTTTTACAGTTTTTGTCTGTGATAGGTTGTACACACCAAATTCTGTGCATGTGATCAACCCTTAATGAACGGCAAAATATTATAATATTCATGATAGTTTGATTTATGTAATTATTGTACCAGATGAATCATACTATGATATCCATGGTGATGCACTGAAACTCTTACTTATACTTTCACCCTACTTCTTGGAATCCATGTCCATCTTGTGAGAGATTACCACCTCCCCCTATCCCTCCCAGAAATTACCACCACCTCCTATCCCTCCCAGAAAACTGTTCATTGGAAACATGCTATAACATTTATGGGGTGATTAGGTTCTCGTCGCAGGATGAAGACTAAAATTTTGATTTGAAAGGTTCATACTTGGCCCCATTTAGTCTAGATACATCCATTACCAGTATTTTTATATTTGAGAATTTGTTTATATGACCCTCCCTCACTCACTGACTTGTACTCTACGTAACAATGTGGGCATCATATTCTCATTACTCTATGCCTTGGCAACATACAGGTAATTCCATAAAGGCATAAATGTTATTTTTATAAAATATAAGTGTTTTATAAATTTCAAATGACAGTTAAAAACAACTTGACCAAACACAATTCGTGTAATAGGCATTACAAAATGGCTACTATACCAACGAAAGCGTCTTTGGATTTGAATAAAGTGTGGGCTTGTCTTGGGTAAATGTTACACAAGTATTTTATAATTTAACATGAAAAACTTT